AAGTAGTTGTTTTAGCTCCTCCTGTTGTTTGCTCTGCGAATTAATTGATGCCGCATCTTCAAAACGTGATATCAAATCCGTGGTTAAAATCGGTTCAGGCAATTCACTAAAATAAACACAAAAATTACAAGTAAAAAAAAAATAACACAAGATACAGTTTAACTTTAACATATGAAAGCATTGTAATATGTACCGTAAAAACAATTTCAACAGCGCGCAGGCCGTTGGTATATCCAATTCATCTGTTTCTGGTTGCCTTTCTCTATTATTATACAGACGTTTGAAATGTTGGATGCGTGTTTTTAACGGTTCTACTTTATAGATTTGATCACTTTTAAGAGCGTGCTCTTGAAGGTAGTCTATACAATCGCGCACCACAAGCGGTAGGTCAACACCGTCATGACAGCGGCTCCGTTCCGTGGCTAAACTAACTGAAACTCCGAAAACTGGCTGTACGTCGCCCAATTCAAGTACTTCCACAGATACATTGTTTACTTGTTTTGCCTTCTTGTCCTTTTTGTCTTTATCCTTTTCTTTATCTTTTGATTTTTCCTTCTTTTCTTTTTCCTTGCGCTCCTTATCTTTCTTCTTATGATCCTTTTCTTTTTCCGTCTTTACCTTTTCCTGCGGTTTTTCATCTTCCCGTGCCTCCTTCTCCGACTTTTCCTTATCACGCGACTTTTCACGCTTCTCTTTACTTTTTGAAGAAGCAAATTTGAATGCCTTTGATTTTTTGGATTTCGATGGACTTCTACAGAGACATTAAAAAATATCATACTTTTCCACAGACAGAAAACTTACTTGGCATCCAAATCCTCCTCTGGAGAGCTTTCTCCCTCCAACGCCGCATAACCGCGGTCTTTGCCTTTATCTTTCTTGTCCTTTCTTCTACCAATAAGCAAGTCCTTTTTACTTAATTTATCATGGTCGCTTTCGCTATCTGCAAACATATTTGAATTTCTTATTAAACAGATTTAATTTATTTTCAATTTGCAAAATGCCGACTTACAATCGCTATCTTCTTTGCTCTTTTTCGATTTTCCATCTCCACCCTCAGAGGCATACAGCCCAGGAAAATCTTTTTCCACATCCGGACTGTCGAAATCCATTATTTATTTACGGTATGAGTGTTTTATTTATTAATAAATAAACAAGAAAATTATTTACCGTAGAGAACTTCACAGTTTACATTTTTCTCATTTGTCAACAGAACAGCTGTTAATTGACAACATCGCTCCCAATAATCGATGAAAGTTTTATCGGACACAGTGCAGCAAACACGTAAAGGCATAGAACAAAAGGAGCCTTGACTCACTACCCTATAAGAATTTGGTGATGGAAACTAAAACTATGTTCACATATCAATATTATCTCAATCAAAGCTCGTTTTTTAATCACCCCGTTTACACAGGCAAATCTCAGATTATTAGCCGTCAAATTTGTTGTGCTTGTTATTCTCACATCTCAAGGGAAATTTATGTTTCTTCTCTGTGCCACCGTGATCACGTTTTTCTTCTCTAATTTGCAATATAAATATATTTTAACTTAACATTTTATTAAAAATACCTTTACAAACCTCTTTTACTTGCTAGCGTACATTTTTGTTTACTTTTACATTTGGCATTTCTCCTCTCTTTCGCAAAAACAATCGATAAAACTAGGATGGACACCGAAAAGTTATCGGTTAAATCTGAGATTATTTTATAATTACAGATTAACAAGGTACGAATTTTATATGGCTAATCTCTTGTTATAATTACAGATTAGGGTGTTAAGCTCGAAAATGAGGATAATCGACTTATATGTGAACCTGGTATAACATTCTCATATATCTTACTAACACATTTGCAAATTTTGCGTTGGTTAAAAAGGTTAAGGTTATAGTTAAGGCCATAAGTTGAAAGAAGATAAAATATCACATGTGTACATTTGTTTTCATCATTTTTTGCACATTGGCATTAAAAACGTCATGGGAGTGTTTGATGGATATTTCCATCTGTAGGGTAATTAAACTGTATGTTTTTGCACTTGCTTAAATTCCTGAAGTTAAATTTATTGTTTTATGAATTGATTTGTTGTTGGAAAAGAAAACTTTTGATTATTAATAAATAAACTTTTAACGCGATCAAATAATAAAAAAAAAATTAAATTTTAAACAACAAAATCAGCCTTATTCCATGTGAATAAATCGTTCCCATAATTTAGCCTGTTAAAAACATATTGGAGTGGACTTGTTGACATTAACCGTGTAAACAGACAAAAAATAGTATCGGAAAGTTTGATTTTCAGAAATAAAAACAGCTCGAAAGCCACCTAACATGCAAAGTGTAACTGCTCCTGCAATCTGTTTTGGAAATTCTTCAGTTTGAGAGACTTTTGTAAAGGACTTGCACTTGTCACGTCTTACAGCTACTTAACAGCATACAAATTCACCAAAATTTGACACTTCTTTTGGTCTTCAGCTTAGGATTGGTCTTAATTTTCGGCTTCGCATCGATCGTGTTAGCAATTTTAAGCTGATGCCTATTTGACTGGTGAAAATTGCTGTGGATTTTATATATTTAGTTTCAAGAATATCAGCAGTGTAATTAAATTTTATGCCCCGTAGTTTTAGAGTCAAAATAAAGCGACTCTAACAAAGATGGCGTCGAGATTTCGGCAGCTAGAAAATAACTTTTCTCTTTCTTTCCTTCCCGCGTGATCTTGTGTCTTTCGTTCATGGAGTTTTCCATTATCGCTTCGCGCAGCAGCTAAAACAATATATGGATGTGGCATGCGCTGTGCATTTTCATAAATTTTATCTTATCTGTCAAAAAAGCGTTTTTCTGCCATCAGACGAAAAATCGCTCTTAACGAAACCACAGCCTTATTTGTTGAGCGACGATTCGTCAGCTGTTGTTATTTATGTATTTCGATAGTTGTTGACGAATTATTTGGAATCAACTTTTAATTACTCCTAGGTATATCGATGGAATCTGATTTACGAATTAAATAATTTAAAAGCTAAAATAGAAAAATGTTATTAAATCTAAAGAAAGAACAACGTGAGCATTTACAGTTGTTGCACCAGCGGTCCCCTGATGATATTGTAGAGCTGTGCAAGTCTGCTTTTGAATACTTGAGTTACGGCCCCAACATTCCACGCTATCAGCAACTTGCCACAAAATATGTTTCAAATCCAGAAGAAGTTCAGCATGCAATTGAAGCACTTATTGCCTTGCTTATTGATGCTACTAAGGCTAATGCTAGTGAAATTGACTTAAAACAATTGCAACAAGAGGAAGGCTATAATGATAACATTATAGAAGTGCTAACACAATTTGTGCACAGCAAACATCACTTTATCGAGGGATCCATTAAGTCTGCGAATATACGAGCATATCGGTTGGTAAATATTGAATGGCGATTGGAGGTACGTATAGCAACACGCAGTCTTTTAAGACAAAACAGTATACGCGTAACAATGAAGTTATTTCTACATACCGAACCTAAAAATGAAAACAGAGATTTGCTAGAAGTTGGCGAGCAGCAAGCAATTCATCCGGACGAGCGGCGAAACCGAAAGGATCTGCTTGTGCAGACAGATTTGAGTAGCCTGGTGTACATTATACAAGTATTAGAAAACGCTCTTTATGAATCAAAGAGTAGACGCATACGCAATATAGTTAGTGCAATACATTAAATAGAAATGTACGTTTCGTCGATAATGAAAACTTTTTAAACGTATGTGAATACAATTTTAAAACTTTTATTAAAATCTAGCATATAAAAATTATATACATATACTATTCTGTATTGTTTAATAGCTCTTGAGCGGCTGCTTTTAACAATTCTTTTTTCTTTTGTCTGTTCTCTCGTTTTTCCTCCGGAGTTTTCTTCAAACCCTTCACGCGACGCGTTTGTATCTTCGTCACATTCTGTTTTCCCAAATGCACACGACCATGTGTATTTCCCAGTTCATCGAAAGTAAGGTTCTTCTTCTTCTTTGGCTGCAATTGTTTAGGCTGCTTTCTTGCCTGTTTGTACAGATCCTCCGATGCAATTTTTGTGCGTCGGATCGAAAAATCTGCAGAAGGTCCAATTTCTACTAGTTCAATGCGCGGGGTCTTTTGGCCGGATTTTTTCAGCATTATCTTATAGGATCGCATCAGAATGGCCAAATCTTCGGTACATGTGAAGCTTATAACATGTTCAATACCCTGGAGACGAATAGCGTCCACTTTATCCTTATGGAATGTATCTATAAGCAAATTCCGAAAACGACGCAATTCCTCAGTTTGATTCCAACGTGGCCCATTAAATATTAAACATGGTTTAACGTTTGTTCCAATTTTTTCGGTTTTGAACTCCGACATTGCCGTGTAATGTTTTATACCCAATTCTATCATATCCAACACCTCATTTTCAAAAATGCGTCCAAGTACCAAATTATTTGGGCGCTTTTTAGACGTTGAGCCAAATGCGAAAAGAGCACAATCATTTTTCATAGTCAAACTTAAAAAGAAGATATCAGGAGGGGTTTGTTATAGGCCATAAAAGACTCACAATTCCAAAGAAGAAGGGTCATCAAAAGGTGTAATGTCATTTTTACGGTTTAGCACTTTTAGCAGAGGCTTGCGCAGTTGTTGCAGGTCCTTCATGCATGATTTTATATCTCCGCCACATTTGCGTCCATCGACAAAGAGCATATTACGAGTGGGCTCTATAAGCTGCGGCTCCCGCGCCACCAATATTTTTTTACCCTTGCGAGTTTTCGGTTTCCTAATTAATAAAATTTTAAATGTTTGCATAATTATCTGTATTGAAGTATTTACCTAATTCGCATTAAAGACATGTCGATTTGTTTTTAAATCTAAGCGAAAAATAAAAATTTTTTGTATTCCGGCCGTTGCACGTGTTGACAAGATATGATATATAAAATAGGGATGTCGGAAAAACATCGATGCATAGAAAATATCGATGTTTTGCTTCAATGCATCGAAAATTTTACACTTGATGTATAAATAGTCGATGTATCGTTTCCATCGATGTTTCTCCAGTTCTATTTTATTCCGAAAAAGGAAAAGGCGTATGTAATCTAAAAAATGCATAGTCAATAAAAAATAAAAGGTAAAACTGTATGAAAAGAAATAAGTAAAATAGTGAAAATTTAATAAATCGAAGTGAAGCTTTAGAATGGGAAAAACCTCTAAAGACAAGCGAGACATTTACTATCGATTAGCCAAAGAAGAGGGCTGGAGAGCTCGGAGCGCTTTTAAACTTTTGCAGATCGATGAAAAGTTCCACATTTTGAAAGGTATTGTTGCAATGGTTTCGTTTTCATAATTTTTACACAGAATTTCTTTGTTTACAAGATGTCACACGCGCTGTAGACTTGTGCGCTGCACCTGGTAGCTGGACGCAGGTGCTTTCCAAACGTCTCTATGAAAATCGTACTAACAATGAGGAGGTCAAAATTATCGCAGTAGATTTGCAAGCAATGGCACCATTGCCTGGAGTTACGCAGCTTCAAGGTGATATAACAAAATTAAGCACTGCCCAGGCAATAATTGACCATTTTGGTGGTGAATCACAAAAGGCACAGCTGGTTATTTGTGATGGCGCACCTGATGTTACTGGGCTACATGATATCGACGAATACATTCAAAGCCAGTTGCTGCTAGCTGCACTTAGTATAACCACACACGTGCTAATGACTGGAGGAAATTTCGTGGCTAAGATTTTCCGCGGTAAAGACACAAGTTTACTTTACTCCCAGTTGCGCATATTCTTCGAGAAAGTATCAATTGCCAAACCTGCAAGCTCGCGTAATTCTAGTATTGAAGCGTTTGTCGTGTGCCAAAATTATCGATGTCCAGATGGCTACATTCCACAAATGATCAATCCTATGGTCGACGATGTGCAAATGATAGTTAATGCAACCGACTCGAAAGTAAATCAAAAACTTATACCGTTTGTTGTGTGCGGTGATCTAAGAGGCTTCGATTCGGATATGTCGTACAGTTTGAATGTAAGTATTGAGACAAAAATAGCTCTATTTGATGAATATAAAATTAATGTAACCGATTTCTTACTTATTTAAAGCTAAATGAGGATTCGGAGTACACGTACAGAGAAGTTGTTCAAAAACCTATTTCTCCTGCTTACAAAGAAATATTGGACAAACTTAAAAATTGTTCTATTAAACATACAGCCATCACTGTTAAGCATGACGATGAAGCAGATGTCACTGAATCAGAACCCGCAGTATCAAATGACGATCCAGAGATGAAGTGAATGTACATGGTCCGATGAATAGCATTTAAGGTTAAATGTGTCTGGCTCTTAATAGAAATATCTTCCACTAAACTTGTGTTCTTGGGCATCATATAATCATAAATACTTATACATATTTGTTTCAACAAAACAAATAATTTTTAAGCAAAAAAAAACCGACTTCAATGCTCATATAAAGATTTAAGATTATCGTGATCCAATGATCGGATTTAAAGCAAATTAGTATGGGACCACCTGCGAGGTAACATTTAAAAAAAAAATAAAAAATTATAGAAATCGGTTAACGTGATTCAAAGTTGTGCGGTAACATACATAAAACAAAAAACAACATTCCGTCGAATTGATAACCTTCTCCTTTTCGTAAAATCGGTTAAAAAATCAAATACATACATACATGCCAATTCTTAATACTCCCGGGGAGATTGTTCTCCGGGAATTTGTTTCTGCCGAGAAAGAAATCCCCCAATAATTAACCCCCAGGAGTAGCATTTTCCCCGAAAACTTATGAGGAGGAAATTCGAACTTCGGAAAAGCTTTTTTGAGAGCTCAACTCCGCCATTTAATATAAAAAATCCTCAAGGAATTTTTATTCATGATAGAAGGAAAGGATAAGAGAAAACTCCCGGGAAGTTTCTGTTCAGAATCGGGGTAGATATAATATATAACTACATACATACTTAAACATAAGTATACATATGTAAACGCGTATGGTCGGCATGCGAGCGCTCCAAATCGAATATAGTAGTTTCATACATATTCGCACTTGTTTAGCGCGATCAAAATCGCGTGAGTGCAAAGTAGCAGTGCCTTGTATTTTAAAAAGTAATGGTAGAAATATAAGACACCGATGTCTTTCGTTTACTTCGATCATAGTACATATGTATCTGTAAGTTTAATATTTACACCTTTTCAATTTTGCACAGTTACTGAGTCGGATCTTTGTACTGTGGAACTGCTGCTTTCGGCGGGTTTAATTCCGTATTTATAGACTTTGTTTAGGCCCTCAGGAAAATCAGGCAGTAGGTTGTTAAAGTTCTCCACAGGTTGAGTTTGTTGTTCCGTCCAAATGCCATCTCCAGTAAAATGGAATTCGCATTCGATTAAGTAAATAATGAGTGTGAGCATTTCATGGTTATCCAAATAAAAAATGCTGTTCACCGGCAGTTGTAATTCTTCCAGAACTTCTGGGTTTTGTAATTGCATAAGCTTCTCTTCTATCCGTTGTCTGCGAATTAGGAAATTTTGCAAATTAATTTTTTTTTTTTTTATAAGAAATATTCTGAAAATGTTAAATCTTACATGGGGTATAATAATACGTGGATGTTATCATAAATGGCCGATATTGGAAACTTTTTCGATTGTAAAAAATCAAAACACTGCTTTAGTTGCAACACCGGTATGTGACACCAATTTGGATGTCTTCCAAGTAATGTCCGCACATCATTTTCGTCTTTCTTCAAAATGTTTGCCAAATAAACTACAACATCACGGCCTTTAGTGCGATCGGTTCCCTCGCGTGCAAATCTGTAAAAGCAAAGAAAAATTTTATAAGGATAACATTTTTTTTTAAGATACGTAGGCACAACATACTTGGCAAACTTTTCCGAGCCCCCTGATAAAATGTGTAACGAGGCACAACGCACCTTTAGCTGATTCAGGTATTCTAGGCGCAAACGAGCTTTGTTTTGGTAATGTACCAGCCGAAGAACACGTGGGTTGGTGCCCAACACTTTGAATTCCTCAATGGTGTGCAGGTCTTTCAGTCGTTCCAATACTGTATCCGATCCAAGTGTCAATATTTCCAAACATTTTATGACTGCCGATTCAGAAATGCCATAAGCTTTTACATGTTCAAGTGTTTTCAACAATCCATCACAGGAAGACATTAATATCTTCGGACGTCGATAGACAATATCGCGCATATCCTGCCCATCTATGCTTACAATTTCTTTGATAATGCGCCGAATATTATCCGCATCACCATATAATAGGTAAGCATTTTTAATTATACGCTCTTTTGGAAATCGTAGATCTTCGAGCAGCACCTGCACTACTGATTGGACTGATTTGAAACTGCGGTGGCGCACACGGTGGTACACTTGCCATAGTTTTTTAATGTCGTTGTCGTTCATATCTAAACGTTGCCGCAGATATGCATTAAGTATGCATTCTCGTAAATATTTTAGATGTATTGCTTCGTTTAAATCCTTAAATCTTTCGGCGGGTAGCTCCAGATCATTGAAACTGTTACATAAGTTTTCCAATACATTTGCTTCGAATGGGATATATCCATGGGATTTCAACATAGAAACTGTCTTATTTAAAACAGTTATGTATTTCGACAACAACACCAGAGTGATGGGTTTAAACCCACACTCATGAAGAACTTGGTAACGATTCTCGACTGTTAGGGCATTTTGATATAGCATTAATGGCTTTGTGAGTATTGTTTCGACATCAAAATTTAACCTCTTCAAAGCATTGGCTGTGTTAACTGCGTCTTGTCGTTTAACGGTTTTCAATTCTGGATGCTTTTCTAGTACGGCATTCCATCTACGATGAGTGGAGCCTGAATAGTTATTACAAAAGAAGGTTTTTAGTTATAAGCCAACGTTGTAGTCTACTCCACTTACCTATTTGGCATTTTAAATAGTGTGCATTCACTGGCTCCTCCTGAGGCACTTCTAGTCCATTAGCACTTTCTGGTGGGGAGACGGCGTGAATGTTGTTCTTTGAGGTCATGGACTTGCTACTTCGACGGATGTTCGAAGCAAAGTTGCGTTGGAACATCCCTTCAAAGTGTCCGATCAAACGAGTTATGCTTTTCTGGTTGTTTCGCAACATAATTTTAATTAAGTTTGAAAAGTTTTAATCTAGATAAGAGCCAGAAGGATTTATATCCCATTTGTTTTCGCAACAGCTGTTTTTATTTCTTTGCGTGTTATCCATTATTGCTTTTTTGTTGTGATTTTTAGATTCGGTACAAGGCAAGGCGAATTTATACTTCCTAC